AAGACCTATGTTAGTTATTGCCACTTGGGAGGTAGCTCCTTGAGTCATTGTCTATAAAGCTGTGAAACTAAAACACAATTTTCGTAGGGCAGGTAATGTCAGCCGTGGCATTGTACTCTGTAATAGAGCACAGACTGATGCCAGCTTGAACCTCCATTCCCCTGTCTTGATGTTTATGGTTAGATCTGTCCCCTGGTAAAGGTTGGGAACAGACCAGTAGCCATGGTTCCATGAAATGGTATTAAACTCAATTTTTCCCAGTTCACTTAATACTGATTATAGAAATCGGCTGTGGTTTTACAGTGAACAATGTTGTTTGTTTTTTAAGGATTCGTAATTAGGTGGCTTTATATTTGTGATTACCCATCAAAAATGAAACTCCCTTTTGCGTGTAATGCACTGGATATGAAAACATATGGTACCTCCAAACATATAAGTATCTGCTTTAGTTTCATATTTCACCTGCCCATCCCACTCAACAGTTTCCGTAGCAACATTGTGTGTATCTGGTGTCACAAAGGATGCAGCAATTCAAAATAAAAGGGGCTCACTATCATCTCAAGGAAAAAAATAAATGTAGACTAACTTGTGACACAGGTCCCAATTACAAAAATGCAAGCAGTAGTAAGTAGTGCTTTAAATATATTGAACCAAAAGATGGAATGAGCTTTATTACAACTATTCCATTTTAGTGTTCAACAACATTTTTAAGCTTCTAGATTTGGAGAGCCATTATTGAGAAGATCCTTCTGTCAAGTAAGAGACAATGCGAACACCTTCAAAAGTGCCAACTCTAATTCTCATGCTTTGCGTTCTGGCTGACTAGCATGAGTTAATACTTCCAATTCTCTGTAGTATCTCAAGTTTTCAATCACATTTCATTGTTATCCCTTTTGGGTGGTGTTGGTTAGTTCACATGTTGCTCCATATCATAGCCTCTTCCTAGCTAACATCTTGGAGTTTCTCTGTACTCCATGACTACGGTAAAGGAGCAGCATCCCAGGATCTTGGAGGATGCAGAGAAAAGAGACATTTATATGTGGGGTGGTTGGGGAGGGGTGGGGGAAGAAAACACAGGAAGATGGGGGTAGAAGCAAGGGAAAGAGGGTGACTTCTAGCTGTGTTTTGATTTTGTTTTCCTGTACTTGTAGTTTCTTGGTTCTTTGTATTAATACTGTAGTCAGTATAAAAGCAACAAAATCTTCATATTCTGGAAACTTGAAGCATGTACTTGGTATTATAGGCGTCTCAATTAGAGGATCAAAACTTGGACTTGCAAAATGATAATTTTAGAAATATTTAAAGTCTAGATTTGTGTGTCTCTTCACAGATTCTCTGGTATACAGTATTCAACTTGCAAATGATCAACATTGAGAATAATGATATAAACATCTGTGCGATGGAGTAGAAATGCGTTATTCATACTATCACATCTCAAGTCTTCAATTCAGCCTGTATCTAATCTGGTCAATGGTCTGACTCCTACCATGTCTCTATCGTTTCCTGACTACTTTAGCAGCTGTTGTACACTGGAGAGGGTTGAAAAGTGAATATTCACTTTTTTATGTCAGTGTATTTGTTTTTTTTATTTAAACAATCCTAAACACCCAACCTTTTAAAATTTGTAAATGATTTGAAGGGTATCTTTATGAATATATTATAGACATACAAAGTTCCCAACACAGCCAAGTTGTTACCAGACTTGAAAAGGTAACCGTGTTTCCTTCCTCCCTTTGACTCTAAGGATTTGTGGCATGCCCATTTTTTTTTTTGGCAAAGATTCAATTAAACGGTATTTTTGTTTCTTTTCACATCTGTTTTTCCTATGTTCTTTTCCCACCTCCTGTTCCAGTTTAGCAAAATAGTGTGATTAGTGCAGAAAGTATTGTGTGTTTGTCCACTTACTGATCTGGAAGCCCTTTCATATTCATAAATTTTCATTTCATTTATGAATATGTAATTACTCATTGTGAAGTGTTGCTCCCACACACAATTGAGGTTAGTATTTTACCAATGCTTTTGTGTTAAGGAACGTAAGGGACGTTCTTGCTCTCAGGAAGTAGATCTCACATCTCTTCTCAACTAGTATCAAACGTCTGAGTGGTAGCAGTTCAGGCTTTTCAACAAATCACTATGTCTGTGTATGTCACTATGAAGATGGGAGAATCATTTTTCCAAAATTAAATTGAATGAAAACAAAGTTGTGTGTTTCTGGCTTGCAGTTGCTAGTTCAGTCATATAAGCAATGTTAATGGGAAGTCTTTGAGGTTTCACTTTCGGGTTTATGTATTTTATGGGTTTACGCACATGAACAATCTTTGATTCAAAACTTTTCATCTTTACAGGATTGGGCTAGTTAAAGTTTTGAGACTGGTCTTAAGGCTATCATGAAAGCTATTGTTGAAATACTGTGTGTGATTTATGAAAACCTTTCCTGGTGCTGGGGGGCTGGTGGTGGGAGTGGTCCACGTACAGCATCTTGTTTTTGTTTCAGATTGTGCACCTGATTGGCCTTCACTATAGATGAACTGTATCTGCAGCTGCATGCATTTTTTTTTTCAGTGTTCACCTTTGGTGGTGGATGCATCCTTTCTTTTCCTTACATTTTTACATTTAGTGAGATAGCTAGAGAAACCAGCTTTGGGCAAAAAAAAAGCCTGCACTGCAAATTTTAAATAGGACATGGTTATTCAAGTGTGAGAGGTCCCATGAGAATCAACACAAGTTCAGATGTCACAGCTGCTGATCATTTTACACTTGCATTCCTGTGGACTCTGAGTTACTTTTCAAGTAGAACAGAACAATAGCAATTTAACATAACTGCTCAGTTTGCATAGAGTACATAACCACTTAAGGTGGAAGTCAGCCTGCTTGGCTAAATTTATCGTTTAAGAATGTTTCAGAAGAATGAAAGGAAATGAAATGCAAAGCAGAATTTAATAAAGCACATTTATAGAATTGAAAAATGACCCCTGAAATCCACCCCATGTAGGCGGTAACATTCCCTCACCTTCTGCTTTCAGTGAGTACTCTTTCATTATACTGGCATTCTTCTAACACTTTTGTTGTTACTACACAGTACCCAGTGCCATTCTTATTCAGAACTATCATGGCAGTGTTTTGATAAAACTTCAGTTTTATTGGTTAGTTTGAACTGATTGCAGTCAAATTTCATTGCAGCGGACTTTCTACCCGGTAATATACTTTTACCCCCGGAATATCAAATCAATGGAACATTTAAAAAAAAAGTTGCCTATGGCTTTTGAATGAATATAAATTTGTGGTGTTATTCGCACAGCAGTGAAAAACAAATGCAAAGCTGGCCAGTCTTTTTTACCTAGCATGGTTTTTATTTTGGAATAAATTGTTTCAACTTGCCGTCTACACCAACTTTGCTGGAATATGATTAAATGCTTGTGATTGCTGTCTGGTACTCAGCTGCACACTTTCACAAATGTACTTCCATTTCCTTACAGCAATCTTAATTTAAATGCAATGGCAAGTTTTACTTCATTGTGACAATGCTACAAAAAGGGGATTTCTAATGTTTTGTTTAGTGTAAATTTTTTGTTTGCTTACAATGTGGATTGCTGTCAAACACTTGTCCAGTCAATTCTCTCTCATGCAGGGTAACAGCAAGGCATTCAACTTTAGAATGAACAATTTCACGTTGCAATATTTCTGGTACTTTGCCACAGTCAGAACCTCCCAGTATAAATGTGTGTTCAGTAGCCATTCTCCTGTTCTGTTAAAATATTCAGGTTTGAACTTTGAAGTCCATTTAGAACAGGATTCTATGCGGCTCCTGGGAGTGGAAATCTTCGGCGGGCAGAGCAGCTTAGTTGTGCAGGAGGCCAACAGTTAGCTTCCAGATAGATGTCTGAAACTCCAGCATTAAGTTCTCAGAAATTTTCATTTTACAGGCATCTGCATGTCATGAATGCTCATTAGAAGGCAGTCTTTCCAGTTAATTTATCAATGCATGTGATTGGTGATTACATATAAATAACATGCAGCAGCCAAGGTAATAAAACTTGGTGCAGTTGGAGTGAGTAGCAGCTGTCTTTTCCTCACAAGGAGCATTGTTAAATGACAGATGATTGAAATCAGATGGCACCAGTCAAAAGGCAAAACCCTGGAATTCCCTTCCAAACGGCTTTGTCGATCTACTGCAGCGCATGGAATGCAGCAGTTCAAGGAGCCAGCTCATCATCATCATCATCTCAAGGCAACGAGGAATAGGCAAGAAATGCTGGCTCACCAGTAACACCAATGTCCCATGAGTGAATTCTTGGGAAAAAAACTCTCATTACAGTTTCAAAATATGCTGTTATTTCAAAAGCATTCTATGATCTCCTTATGTGTGCTATTATTGCCAGTTTGACTTGATATTTTGTGTTATTCCTTTATCAGAAACACCCAATATTTTTGTTTTTGCTCTGTCTCACATTGAAATTACTGTTAGGGGCCTGTAGACCATTCTCACAAGTGGTTGGCTGACGCCCCAGCCCCTTGGTTCCTTTATCTGCTTGTCAATCATCCCTGAGGTATAAATGGACATTGCACTTTGACCCAATGTAGCTTTTTTTGCATGGTTCCTGCATGGATTTAAGCTGGCATTGCAATATGGAGATGCGACATTTAAAACTGGGCCCCACTGTCTGTTCCATATTCAGGTTGATGCATTTCAGGTTACAACTTAAGAGCAGTGTTCCTTTTGTATACTGGCCAACTTTCCCCTCTCAACTAGAACTTTCAAGAAATAATGGAATTAACCTTCTTGTGCAGTTAGTGGGACCTTGATATCTGCATATTGGCTGCTACACTTTACTATTTAAGAGCTTCAAAAGTAAATATTTGGTTTTTAAGTGCCAGTGAAGACAAGCTTGGAAAATATCGTAAGGCACTGTACAAATATACGTTTAGTTGGCTGTTAACATGCTGAAGGACAAAAAAAAGTCTGCTAAAAATTAAGTTGTTCCATTTTTCTTTTGTTGCAGGGAAAGCATTTGACATTACGTATGTAAGACTGAAATTCCACACAAGTCGGCCTGAGAGTTTTGTTATTTATAAACGAACTAATGAAGATGGGCCTTGGATACCTTACCAGTATTACAGTGGATCGTGTGAGAAAACGTACCAGAAAAAAAATCGTGGGTTTATCCGAACAGGAGAGGATGAACAGCAGGCGCTGTGCACAGATGAATTTAGTGATATATCGCCCCTCACTGGAGGAAATGTTGCCTTTTCTACTCTGGAAGGGAGGCCCAGTGCTTACAATTTTGACAACAGCCCTGTGCTACAGGTATAGTCAAGACAAGACCATTACCTGTTGTAAATTGAGTCAGTAATTGTATTACTTGGTGTATACTAATGCTTGCAATGGTCTTGGACCAGAACAGTAGAAATAATTGTTTTAATTGTTAAAAATACTATCAGTATTCTTTAAAAAGTGTTTTCAGTATTATTAATTTTAAGCCTTCAGTGTCCATTCCCATACATTCCTCTGAACTTTCTCTTCCCCCTCTCCTGAAGGTGTTGACTATTGCTAAGCATCATTTTTATAAACTCTTGGGTGCCTCACCCTTCAATATTTCAGTAAATCTTTAACTGGGAGTGTAACAGCCAACAGGATTTTCAAATACAAAGTATAGTAGTTCCCAACTGATGCTGGTTTTGCTCAACATTCACGTGTACAGTCTACATTAGGACTTGCCATATAGTGATCAGAAGCAAGAACCTTGGTTGACTTATCATTCTCTAAAGGAGTTCTTTTCTCCTAATCATCTGTTCATTTGAGGGTGAGGGGAAATGCTCACTGACACAAAATGACTAAGATGTTTTTGTGTCTCGTTACCAACTTGGGCCTCAGAAATTGGTGGTGTCAAAATGTAGTTTCATAAAAATGACACGTTCTATTCCACTAATCTACAGCACAAAATTTATGTGGCATCTGTTTTCAATTTGTTACAAATGGCCTCAGATGTTGACAACGGTGCTTGAGATAAGTTGAGATGCCTTTTATGCGTTGGACACCATTGGTGAATTCTGATGCTAACTACATATGGTGAGCATTGGCTAGCGACATGCATAGGAGGCATATAGTTGTCAGTTGGTATGGTAGGACCTGCATGTGCATAAACTGGGAGGCTAAGCTAGAAACTATTGTCGTGCTATTCAAGAAGCATATGAGCGAAGAGCTTTGAGCTAGAGACAAAAGGTCCTGGACGAGCCAGCTTCCAACGGACAGCACTGCCTCCCAGCTATCAAGATTCGTGGTGAGCCTCTGGAAAATGTGAATTAAACCTTCTTTCAGTCTCCTGTCAGCAAGGACAATAAAATTCAGCACTTCAACATATCCAGTTTCTCAATGTAGCCTTTGGCTCTCTGAAGAACAGTGTTGTGTTTAAGGTCTCGGTCATACAATCTCGGGCTTCTGGTCTACAAAGCAGCAGTTTTAGCAGCCCTCCTATGTAAGTTAGAGAAATTAATAATATCCAGCATTCACCTCAAATCTCTCAAAGTATTGCCAATGATGCCTCTGCAAAATCCTGCAAATCCACTGGCTCTCCAAGGGCCATGTCTTCTCTGAGGCCACCATCGTCAGCTTTTGAGGTACTACTTATGGCCTCATCATCCACAAGTCTGAACAGAATTTCCAAAACAAACTCTCTGCTCAAAGCTTCATTGTGACAACCAATTTCCAGGAAGGCAGAGGAAGCACTTCAAAAATGTTCTCGCAACTTCCTTGAAATTATTCAGTGATCCCACTAATTTATGGGCGTTTCCAGCCTGAGACTGTTGGATTGAAATGCAAGCATGTATAAATGCCTGTCCTAGTCTGCTGTAGTCATTTAACCTCTACTATGTGGCACACAGCCTGTAGGATGACAGCTTAAGCTTCTCTTTGGTAAATTCCTTGTGCTGAACACACTGCTGTGTTGTACACTCAACATAATGTCAGAAATGCTATGTCCACAACGGAATAAATGGCTCAGCTGCAGAGCTGTGAGCTGCCATTTTAAAAAAAAAAGGAAGGATATTTCCGATGACTGGCGAGTCCAGAACCGGGGTTACAATATAAGGATTACAGGATAGTCAATTTAGGACTGAGATGAGAAATTTCTTTACCCAGAGTGGTGAGTCTGTGGAATTCTGTACCGCAGAAAGCCGTTGAATCCAAAACGTTGAATATTTACAAAACAGAATTGGATATAGTTCCTAGAGCGAAATGGATCATGGGATATAGTGAGAAAGTGGGAACAGGGTCTGGAGTTGGGTGATCAGCCATGATCATATTGAATTGTGGAGCAAGCATGAGGGGTTGAATAGCCTACTACTGCACCTGTATACTATGTTTCTATGTTGAAAAGCGTGAAGGTCATAGAGAAACTACTGCTTAAAACAAAACAGTAGCAGCTTATCCCCTATTAGCTTCTGTTCCAGTTACTGTTGGTATGCGGCAGAATTCTTCCATGTGCAATGGCAGAATTATAACACAGCAACAAATTTGTTAAGCAAACCAGAACAATACAAGTTGCTACACTTTTTTATCATTGTTGGGAGGAGACTGTTTGAAAATATATTCCTGCAGAATATCTCTGCAGAAAAAAACTTCAGAAATTTGAAAAGCTTTGAAGGCACATTTTGAGCCCAAGTGACAATTACATACAAATTGTGCATATTCATTACCAGGGAACAAAGTGAGAAAGAATCCATCGATCAGTGCATGATGTAGTTAACTCCGCTTGCAGGAACCTGTGAATTTGCACAGTTTAAAAGATCAGCTAATTCAAGTTGGGTTTGTATTAGGAATAAGCATCCGAAAGTGAAAGCATGTCTGCTGAGAAAAGATAAATTACACTCAGGAGAGCAATCAACCAGTGTGTAAGTGTCGAGTTTGCAAATCCACAGCTAGAGTTTATTCATAGCAGAGCAGACCAGGTCCTGCATTGTGCTGACAGATCCTCCAAGCATTTAGGGCAGAACATTCACAGACAAAGACTAGGATGCAAACAGTACAGCAACATCATGTAAAAGACAACAAGGCATGTCCAATGTGGAAAAACAAGTGTTCTCACTACGAAAAGCTGCATCATTTGGGCAAGTGTAAGGCAATAAAGAAGCGCAACAAGCAGGTACAGATGGCCACAGGAGAGGTAGCGGCTGAAGATTCTAATAAATCATTATACAACATACAAGTTGGCTCCGTCAAGTTGATAGTTGAGACATGGTTTCTCACTTGAAATGAGGACTGCAGAAGGAGAATATCAGGTCAACACAAAATGTCATCAGACCTTCACAGACCTATACAAGGTAGCTGAACATGTTGATCCAAAAATGAAGCCCTCAAAAATAAGATTGAGGCAATATGAAGGCACCGTACTCATGCTGAAAGGACACACTTATTGCTTTAAGAGCACATTGGGAATATAGAGATGAATTGACAGTCCAATATGGCATATTTTACAAAGACAATAGAATAATTAGCCCAAAGGATCTGAGAGGAGCAATGTTAAAGGGCATCTGTGCCAGCCACCAATGAATCAAGTCTGAAGAAAGCAAGAGATGGACTCTACTAGTCAAGAAAAAGCAGCAAAATTGAGGACCACATCAATCAGTGCAGTGCTTCTAATGAGTCCAAATAAACAAGCTATAGAGCCACTGATGACACACGTCATCCAGACAGACCATGGATGAAGCTGGGGGTAGGTATCTTCTTGCTCGCTGGAACTATTATCTTATTACGATAGAAAACTATTCTTCTGGCTAGAGGTGGACCAGATTACTTCAATGACTACTGCTGAGATTGTTAAATGCTTTAAAAATCTACTTTAGCTGTTATAGCATTCCTGACATTGACATGAGTGACCCTCAGTTCACAAGTGAAGACTCCCATTCCTTCATTCCTTCAAAGATACGAAAGTCAACACCACACATAATCTTTACACTATTCCTAGTCAAATGGAATGGCAGTAAAAATCACAAAGGAATCATAAAGATATCAAGCAAATCTCACACATAGCAATCCTCGAGTGGAGAAATACACTTAATGAAGGCATGGAAAGTAATCCAATACAAAGTCGAATGTCATGCTGCACACAAATAACTTTTCCACTGCCCAAAAAGCGACTGAGGCCAGAAATTGTATCATATGAGTTTTCTAAAAAAAAAAGGGAAATAGCAGAAAGTTGAATTTCGCTTGGACAAGACTGCTGAATCTTTGCCAGAGTAGAGTATTGAAGAGCCAGTCAGAGTACAAGCATTCAACGATCTCAAAGCCAGGCCAAGTTCCAACTTAGCTGTGCGAAGCTGTTGTCAGTGTGTGTCTATGTGATTGTTCATTTCCATCAGATATACCATAGCAACCACAGACACAGACTCAGCTGATCAGGAAGAGGTGAACGCATCACCTGCACAGAACATAAGTCAACCATCAGACCCAGCAACCCAATGTGACAATACTATAGCTTTAAGAGGTGTATTTTGTCGTGGTGTTTTATGAAGAAAGGTCAAGACCGAGGTGATGAGCAGTCTCCTCTAAAGCCAATAAATTAAACGGCTTGTGAGGCCTTGGTTTTTTTTTTCAAGTTGGAAGAATAGAAGTAGGCTGAATGGGTGGGTTCACACTCCCACAGAATCAGGATTTTAGTTTTAGCCTTCAGTAGCAGTTGCTGTGTCTTGAAGCTGGATGTGGAGTCCCTTATTGCTCTTGGTTACAGCTAAAAGCTGCTAGAATTGTGTGTGAGATGATCTGTTTTACTGAATTTGCCTTTGTCAAGGGTGTGTTTATGGCATGGTGCTATATTGGAACAGTTAATTGTTATTTAATACATTTAAGCATTTCAACAGAGTTAGAGTTAAGCCAATTTTCTTTTTATTTTGTCTGTATTTTAATTATGGTGTTTGAGTAAAGTGTGTTTTATTTCAAGCCTGATAATGACTAATCGAATTGCATCCGGAATACAATGCCTTACACTTCTCTTCAAGATAACTAAAAGTTAGGCTCTAGGCTATCATCTTAATGTATTTTGAGGGGGTTTTGTCTGGTCCATAATACCCAATAATGGAAATGGATTAACAAGGCCACCATAGCAACAGCAAATGACACAGGAATGACACTCCCTGGCAAAACAACATCACTCAGATGAACAACAAATGTAAAATGCCACTAGTCAAGGCATGGCAGTGTACAAAAGTTCAACTTGTGTTTGTATTTTTTTGGATCCTGAGACTGCTGGATCTTGCCTTAGTTCTATGAACTGGTTTGTTGACTCAACGCCCTGAGACATCTTAGTTTAGTCA